CCTTGTAGGGATGGTTTACCCATTATTGGTGAGGTGTTTTGTATGGCCACTTGGCAGGAGCTTGTTGCCAAGTGTTATAGAGGAGTGCTAGTGGTTTTTGGGATTATTTGAGGTAATAAAATTTGTGTGTGTTTTGAAATAGAGGTAATAATAGAGGAGTGCAAAGACTTGTCTCATTAGGGTTAGGGTCTTTGCATGGCTTGCTTTTGCCACGTGTCATTGTGAGGATAGTGGGGCTTGAGGGGCTTCTCAGAAGTATTGACAAATCCAATTCAGTGGTTTGGGTGGAGTTATGAACGTCTAAATCCATACCATTGAAATTTTCATGTTGAGCTAACTCATTATCTTCTAGGGTAGGGAGAGCAGAGAATTTGTTAGAAGTATTGATAGCATTACCTTGGTTACGAGTATTCTCAGTGTTGATGGTAGTATATTTATTTCTTTGTATGTAAAAGTTGGGTTTGCCAATGGAGTAGCTTTATCAGAGTGAATATATTTAAAGACTAGCTTTTGTGTGTTAAGATACATACCTGACGTCGCATCGAAAATTTTGACATTTATACCTGGGCTTGTCATTTGTGGTATATCTTGGGAGGAACTAGTTGTTTGCCTCTATTATTTTTTTTTCCTTGTGCCTGTTGCCTTTGGGGAAGGGAATAGTCTGCCATTGCTCCTCTGCATGAAGTTGTGAATTTGTGGATGAATTTGTAGAGGTGATGGCCCATGGACCTTCCTATTTATGGCTAACTGTATCGACTGAGGAGTAAGTGCAGGTTGGGGCTGAGTTCCGATCTGTATAGCTGGTTGGACTAGTTGGTCAAGTGCTACCTGTACGCATAGTCTTGCATACCTAACTGGTACAGGCGTCTACACGAAGGAATTTACCAATAGAGTTTCCAACCCTGTTAAGTATTATCCCGTCATAGAACTCTATGGGCAGTTGGGGAAGACGAACCCAAATTGCTGAGTGGACTTCCCTTGCTTTGCTTGCTACAAAGTTTGGCTCCCATCGGCGTACGGAGAGGTAGTAATCATTGATGAACCAAAGTTTGTAGTTGTAGATGTAGGATTAGTGCTAAGGCTAGGAATTGGAAGGTCCTTTTCTATGTCTGGGGTTTGGGTGGAACAATTGGAACAGATGAGTCTTCTATATTGGTTGAGTTCATAGTTGAAGATGCCTTGAATAATTTGTGTGTATGTGTACCACCAAAATTTACCTACAAATAAATCAAAGCATACGGTCGTTGGAATATCGATTTTGAAGCTTCATACATGCATACAATGCATATCGAATGATTTTGTTTTTACTGGAGTTAAGTGAGTCTTTCTCTTGATTACCAAGTTAAATATATATGTTGTATTTCAATTGCACCATAAGGAGTAACATTTATCATATTGTAGGGACCTGTCCATCTCGACTTTAATTTTCCAGGAAATAGCCTAAGTCGGCTATTATAGAGAAGTACAATATCTCCACTTTTGAAGCTTTTTTGTCTGATCAAATTTTCATGCACTTCTTTGTTTTTTCCTCGAAAGTTTTAGCATTTTCATAACTTCTAACCTCAATTCTTCTAACTCATTAACCTGCAAAAATCTATTTTTTCAAGCAGAGGTTAATTCAAGATTCGGTGCTTTTAATGCCCAAATAGCTTTATGTTCTAATTCAATGGGTAAGTGACCAGTTTTTTTAAAGACTAATCTATATGGGGATATTCCGATTAGCGTTTTGAATGTCGTTCGATATCCCCATAATGTATCATCTAATTTTAAAACCCAGTCTTTTCTTGAGATTCTAACCATTTTTCAAGAATTCTTTTTAACTCACGGTTGGAAACCTCCTTGCCTTTGAGTTTGAGTATGATATGGTATTACTGTTTTGAGTCACACCATATTTTGACAGTAAAGTAGAAAATTATCTTTTTATGAAATGAATCCCTTTGTCATGATAACTCGTGATCTGCTAAATCTGGTAAAAATATTTGTTCTTAAAAAGTTACACACTATATGAGCATCATTATTCCTTGTGGGGATGGCTTCAACCCATCTTGACACATAATCCACAGCCATAAGGATATATTCGAAAGAGTGAGAGAGAAAAAAAGAACCCATGAAATCTATTGACCAAACATTAAATATTTCATATACATGTATTGATTTTAATGGAATCTCATCTCTCTTAGTAATGTTGCTTGTTCTTTGACACTTGTCACATTGTGCAACATAGGCACGGGTATCCTTAAAAAGTGTTGGCCAGTAAAATCCAACCTCCAACACTTCAGAGGCAGTCTGATTTGTTGTATAATGTCCTCCAATTGCTCCATCATGGCAATGATGCAGAATTTTATTTATCTCTTCTTCGGATACACACCTTCTAATGATATTATCTGCACAGATTTTAAACAAGTAAGGTTCGTTCCACAAATAATACTTAGCATAAGTTATAAGCTTTTTTCTTTGCTGGTAAGAGATATCTTAGGCATCCAGTTTCCAACAAAGTAATTTGCAATATCCACAAACCAGGGTGGTTGAGTAACAACTGAGTCGACAGAAAAAATATGCTCATTGGGAAACTCTTTATTTATATCACAAGACTCAAGAAGAGGGTTTTCTAATTTTGTAACGATCCGGGCGGTTATTTTATGTATTTGAGCCCCATTTTCTTATTTGATGCTCCTCGACTATGTATTTGTTGTTATTTGACTTGCGGGGATGGTTGGTATGATTTTGGAAAAGGGTTTGGAGTGAATTGGAACGTTTAGTTCTATGGTTGGAAGCTTAAGTTATAAGAATTGATTGAGGGTTGACTTTGGTATAAATGACCTCGGATTGATGATTTGATTGTTCCAATAGGTTCGTATGGTAATTCTGGACTTAGGCGTATGTTTGAAATTTGATTTGGATGTTCCTAGGTTGATTTGGCTCTAACTGACGAAAGTTGGAAATTTGAAGGTTTAGATAGTTCATTGGTTTGACGGGAGTTTATTTTGAGGCTATCAGGGTAGAATTGTTGTTCCGAAAGTTGGAATAGGTTCATTGTGTCATTTAAAACTTGTGTGTAAAATTTGGGGGATTCCGAGTTGGTTAGACGTGGTTCAACATGAGTTTTGAAAGTTAAAAGTTGATTAATTCATTAAGCTTGAATTGAGGTGTGATTCGTTGATTTGATGTTATTATGTGTGATTTGAGACCTCTAGGGGGCTCGGGAGTATTTCAAATGAATTTTGGGTCATTTAAGCTTGGTTGCATTGCTGAAGTTTTGCTGGTGTCTGGTATGCTTCGCGATCACGGAGATGGTCTCGCGATCGCGAAGGCTAATTTTGGGGAAGTAGCATTTTGCTCTTTGCGTTCGCGATTAGTGCACCGCATTCGCAAAGCTTTGTTAGCAGTGGCATTCGCGTTTGCGATCGGGGCTTTGCATTCGCATAGAGGAAGGCAACTGGGGGTTGGCCAGGCATTTGGCCTTTGCGTTCGCGTAAAGGAAACTGTGTTTTCGTAGGCCTGGAGTGGGTAGTTTATCGCGTTCGCGGGCTGTACATCGCGTTCGCGATGGGTATTTCTGGGGCTGAAATTGGTTGTGTTTCGCGAACGCGAGGCTTGGACCGCGTTCGGGGTATTACTCGGCAGATTTTTAAAGACTTGTATTTTGGAGCTTATATGCATTATTTCATATTTTAAGCCCTAGACTTGGAGATGACGATTTTTGAAAGGGATTTTCACACCAAGCAAGAGGACAAGTGATTTCTACTTGGTATTAAAATTATAATTTGTTTACCTAAGGATTATTACACATAGATTATGGGTTTTTTAGGTAAAATTTGGGGATTTTGATTATGATTTTAGAGAGTGAGAAATAGAGATTTGAACCCCGATTCGGAGTCGAATTTGGATTAAACTTGTATATTTGAACTCATTTTTGAATGAGTAATCGGGATTTATGATTTTTTTTTCGTGTACCAGAAGGCAGGCACGGGTTGACTTTTTAATTGATTTTTTGCTATTCGAATAAGATTGAAGCTTTAATACTTGGAATCGATTTCTATAGTCATATTTGATGTTATTGAGTTATGTTTTACTAGATTTGAGCCGTTTGGAGGCTGATTCGCGTGGGAAGGGCTTTTTGGAGTATTAATTTGAGCACTTTGAGACAAATAACATGTCTAAACTTGGTTTGAGGGTAATTTTCCTATTGGCTATGATATTTGAGATAGGTTAGTGGTGACGCATGTGCTAGGTGACGGGCGTATGTGCATACACCGGGGTTATTCATGATTCGGGTAGACTTTAGGCTATTTTGTGCTTTATTTTGCTATCAAAACCCGTTATTTCCGTATTTTCTCTACTTGTATGACTACTTGAGTGATTATTCATGCTAGGAATCATGTCTAGACTATGTGCTTATCTGTTTCAGACATAATAGGACTATTCTTGCTATATTGAGATATTAGCCTTAATTATGGTCATACTCTTAGTCATAATGCTTTATCCGCGTACTATATTGTTGTCTCTATGAATACTTTATTTGCTATCTGAATATTTGAGACTTGAGCAGTTGATGACTGAGTTTGGACCGTGGAGCGGATTTGGTATTAATTATGAGATGACGCGTACACCAAACCTCACATTGGGCTTAGTGGTATTGATTATGTGGTGACGCGTGCGCCAGGCACATGTCGGGATATGTGATATTAATCACTGACTTATATCTAATCAACGCTTGGGCAAGAACCCGCCCCTCCGAAGTCGGGTAATAACCGTGGCACATGCACATCATAACTTTTCGTTGATGTACGCTTTCAAGCTTAACCGAATTTTAATAATTAAATACCAAAATCAATATGAAACCTAAATAATAATATGTTCTATCTAATTTTAAAAATTACAGATAAAATACTATTTCAAATTCGAAAAAGATATAAGAGTTTAATAGATCTTAACATATGAATATGGAAGGATGAAGAGATTGACGCATTTCAATAACACTTGATAAGAAAGTGATGAAATGGGTTAGAATCAACCATTATTTAAAGTAAATAAAAATGATTGTACTTTATAGTTCTATTAAATATTACATCTCATGAGGATCACAAATATTTCGAGATATTTGGCCTACATTTTCTATCTGCCATGGGAACAAGAAGACAATCTTCTGCTACATAAAGAAAATAAGCTAAACCAAATGGGCATTCCACATTTTATCTCTCCGCCAGACTTCCTCCTATTGCCTCAGATATGGCTGCAAGTTGATGACCCACACCTTTATCCAGCCGCATGCCTTCATTATTAGGTTTACATATGTTAAAGATGTTGCGGTACACCGTATATCAAGGAGCTGCCTTATTGAGAATTCGCAGATATGATGGAGCTGATGAACGTATATCATGACCTTTAAGATCACGACTCCTCAGCATCCAATACTCCGTTACTCAACCAGTCCGAGGTGAAAACAGAATGACAACCCGTTAGAACAGTGAAAACTCACAGTTGTCAAACAAAATGTTGTTTAAGAAAAGACTAACTTAAAAAGGAGATCTGTTATAAACTGGCTTCAAAAAGTCTGGAGAATGCAGTCTCCAAGTTACTTAAGTCCATAAATGATTTCCTGATGATCCATACACATCATCTCCATATGACCTGCCTTTTTTTCCTTATTATGTTTTGGACGGTGGTGTTGAGAAACAAGCGACAAGAAAAAGCTTGTCACCAGTAGGGCATGTCACGTTAATGAACTGTCAAATACCTGACCACAGTCACCCAAATGATCTCTGACTTCAAATAACCAAGGGGAGAACATATTGAATAGGATTATGATCAACAACAATTGAAGATACCTTATCTCTACTTCAGAAAGTCAGTGGAGGCAGGATTTGTTCGAACTTTAGCAGAGAGTCGGAGAACAGTACCTGCATAGACCAAATTATAACAAGAATATTCTGCAAACTCTTAGTCTCAAAGATGGAAAAAGTTTCAGCTATGCTATTGCAATTTGCTGGCATATGGACGTACTGGTTGTGAAATTTGCAAAAGAAACTAAGAAGTTAAAGCATCAGATAGATACTTCTAGACATTAATGCTGAAGCGACTAGGACAATTCAAGCAGCACTCTTCTACCTATATTTCACAATTGGCCTTCTTTATAGTAATGCTGAAGCTCCGCTGTGATTTATGCAAGACTTCAACTCTAGTCATCTTGCTAGAGCACATAAGCTGCAGAAGTAATCCAAACATAAAGGCTAAGCAATAGCAACTGGATAGCCGAAACAAATTAATTGAACAGACTGCAGATGAAGCTCACTAGATAGCCCTAGTGCATTAAAACAGAATAAACAAAGGAATGCCAAATACCTATTCTGACAGATCAGTGTCAGTATAACAGTGGACCACCTCGTGAGCTGCAGAATAATTCTTGTAACCACCTTGTATGACGAATATATTAAAGGATATTAAACGCAGAAATAGCCTTCAAAAGGTAGAAGTGACCAAAGTTCAAGCTGCAGATGTATCAGATAGCCTGATTTCAATCATTGAAGCTGGTTTAAGCTAGAGAACGACCCTCATGGAGACCTCATCTCCAGCAAGCAAGATAAATGTTCCCAGTGTAAAATTGATCAGCTTTTCGTCTTTCTACAGCAATACTTATCTTCTTTTCTTTTTCTTCTTTCTTAAAGCATTTAGCTTCTCGCTCACGACTGCCAATCCTTCACATAAGGCTTCGGTGCTTGAATATTCACCTGCCAATCCTCTCTCTTGCAGATCACTTAGAAGACTTTCACCCTTTGCAAGATCGTTTGCAGAACAGACGGCATTGACAAGAACTGTAAAAGTTGTAACATTGGGACACAGACCCCTCTCTTTCAGCTCCTCATAGAGATCAAAAGCATGATCAATACAGCCACCAGCACAAAGGCCTGTTATCAGGACATTGTAAACAATAACATCTGCCTTTGCACCATGAAGGTCCATTGTAGCTTTCAATTTTAAGGCCTCAGAGACCTTAGAACTTTTGCAAAGTCCATGCATAACAGTTGTGAATGTGGCAACAGTTGGAATCAGATGCACCCGAAGCATACATTCAAGAACCAGCATTGCTTCCTCCATCTTCCCACGATGCACAAGCCCCCGTATAATCGCACCCTCAGCTACATTACGGGAGCTAACGCCTAGCAACTCCATTTCATCTTTTACTTTGAATGCTCCTTTTACATCTCCAACTTTACACATACTAGTAATTAGATTACTATATTGTCTGTCAATTGGGATGAAACCCTCTACGAACATTTTATGCAATAGACGACGTGAATTTTCGAAGTCCAATGTTCTTTTCAGTCCCTTAAATATTGAGTTGTAAGTGTCTCCATCAGGAGAAACACCAACGGTAGTCATTAAAGTAAGTAGATCAAGGGCCTTCTTCATCTCACCCCTTTCACTATATTTACTGATAATCATGTTGAATGTGAATTTATCTGCCACTGTTCCTCCCACAATAATCTTTATCATAAACTTAACTCCAATATCCAGCATGCTCGACTCACAGAGTCCACGAATCACATAATGGCATGTTAATTTATCTGGAGCAAAACCTTTTTTTCTAAGTGACTGATATAACTTAGAGCACTCAGATATGTTTTTCGGTCTCGAGTAGCCTCGTAATAGAATATTATATGTAGCCAAGGAAGGCATTTGATTTCTCTGTCTCATTGTAGAAATGAAACTGCTCACCTTATCCATTTGTCCATGTTTTATGTAACCATCCATCATCACATTCAGTGCCACGGTATCTGGGCTAAGTCCATTCCTCGTCATCTCATCATAGAAGTAACGGGCAACCTTAGGCAAGCCACTCTTGAAAAGTCCATCAATGATACACGTATACATGATCCGGTTTGAAGAGGGGTCTCCTTTATTCAATGCTCTTCCCAACAGAAGAATTGCAGCAACCAACTTATCCTTCCCACACAAGCCAGCTAAGAGATTGGTGTATGTATGACTATCAGGGAGCACGTTTTTCTGAACCATCTCATCGATAAGGATTAATGCCATGTGGAAGTGGCCTAACTTACAGATCTCAGCCAGCAATGAGTTGTAGACAACACCAGTAGCCCAGCAAATTCCACGGAGTTTATCAAAAAATCCAAGTGCCTCTGTAAGGTTTCCTCCTCTGCATATTCCCTTTAGTAAGCTTGCATAGGTGTACAAGCTAGGCTGACTACCCAAGTTAATCATTTCGTCAAACCAGGATAGTGCTTTTAACCCTTCACCTGCACTTGCATAGCAGTCAATAACAGAAGTAAAAGCACTAGAACTGGGAACAAGACCAATCTCATGCATGTGACGCATGAAATCCTCTGCCTCTCTTACTCTTCCACATGTACAAAGAGAAGATATTAGTGAGTTGCATATGAAAGTGCTAGGACTATGGCCTGATTTTTGCATCATTGCATAGATTCTGATTGCTTTTAGGGGATCTTGCTGCTTACAAAAGTTGTAGATCAAAGTAGAGTATACCACATCGTTTGGAAAAACTCCAAACCTGTACATCTTACTTAATATCTCCATTGCTGCATTTAGCATTCCAGCTTTACAAAATCCATTTAGAAGCACCGAGTATGCAACAACATCAAGACATATACCCCTTTCAAACATTTCCTCAAGTAAATGTACAACTTCTCCAAGTGACCCCATTTTGCACATCCCTTCTATTAGCATTGTATATGCAATATGATTAGGAGATAATCCATCCAACTTCATCTTCTTGAGAATATTTCTTGCAGAATCCAATATGCCATGCTTGCAGAAACCATTCAAGAGAGCCCCATAACTAACTTCATTGGGCCGTAAACCTCTTGCTTCCATTTCATTCAGCATTTCTTGAGCCTCTTTAAGATTGCCTGCTCGACAATGCCCGTCAACCAAAGCATTGAAAGTGATACAATTTGGTGAAAGATTTAACTTCAACATCTCATGAAAAATCTTCATTGCAACATCAATCTTACCCTCTTTCACAAACCCGTTAATAAGAGTGTTATAGGTGATATGATTTGGAACAATCAATCTCTTCCTCATCTTCCTCAATACTAAATAACCTTTAGAACTCCTATTATTCCTACATAAGTCATCTATAAACATATTGTACGTACAAACATCAGCCTCAAGACCCTTAGAATTCATGCAATCGATCAATTCTAAAGCGGTCTTATACCTGCCCATTTTGCAATACCAATTAAGCAAAGTATTATAAGTAACCACATCAGGCTTATAACCACTCTCTACCATCTTTGCAAGAAAACAACTTGCTCTCTCGACCTTTCCTTTGGCACAAAGAACTTGTAAAAGTATATTGAATGTACCAACATTAGGGCAAACACGTTTAGCAAGCATTTCTTTGAAAAACGACCATACACACTCAGCATTCCGCTGCTTCCCCATCGCTGCTAAGAGCATATTACAAGTGTAAACCGACGGTTTAAATGCTCGAGAGCTCATCAAATGGAAAATCTGAAGAGCATCTTTAAGTGTACCTTTTCTGACATAAACCCTAATTAAAATATCAAAAACAGAAGGGTTCGAACTACAAAGACGATATGTATCCATAAGAGACTCAAAAACAGAACTTGGCGTAACACCCATGTCAGATAAATGCCTCAAAATTGACTTAACATAGTCATGCATTCTAGCTCTAACGAGTATGTGGGTAGTTATACCATACATGTGAATAATGTGACTGAATTCTAAACCGGGTTGCTTAATAAACCAGCTCAAAAATTTCAAAGCTAGCTTCCCATGAATTGGCCTCAGTGAAGCCATTTTATAACCCATATGATTTAGCGAGTCCCAACGGTTCAGGGTTAGAATAGTGTAGATGCTCTTCTCCATTTTTTCACCTGTTCACACATATATACATAAACTTAAAAACATATAGATGAAAAAAAACATTGAAAATAGAGTAAGGGGGAGAGTACTTGCTGCTTGGGTGTTCACTGGATAATTATTTGCTGTGCGAACCATTTTAGAGAACCCCGTTTGAGAGAAAGCTCTAAACCGCGAACGCATCGCATCGATGGTTAATTTTGTATTTGACTTTTGGTGTAGCGGTGCTGTTTTTGTGCTATATTCTGCGGAAGCCAAATGGAAAATGGTACTGCCAGCTGATGAATTGTATTGGAATGAAACTCTAAGCCAAAAACTGTGTTTACATAAACAAATGTCATAAAGCGGGCGGAGTGCTATTTTAGAATTTTATAACACAGCTAAATTATCAATTTGCTTCAGCTGCAATTACTATCTGGCCGTAAGAGTAGTATTATTGTTAGATCGTGATAATGGAGCCTAGTGCAGATATGAACTGCTTTATCCGAAAAATCGGATAAAGTAGAATTTATATATGGTTCNTTATCCTTAGCCATACGGTGGGCGCCAAACTGTTTACCCGAAATATCGGATAAAGTATAATTTATATATGGTTCTAAGGGCAAGTAGATTCTTCTGATATAAGAATAACAATGCACGTATTTATGTTGCGAAAATAGGAGATGATGAACAAAGATATTAGGTGAACTTAGAAAGATAAACACAAAGAATTCTTGTTCTGCTCTCCAAAAATGTGTTCTATTACAAACTCGCCCCCTTTATAGCCAAGGATTGTTACTTTATCTATAGCAACATAATGGAATAAATATTTACTAGTGGAGGACCCATGATGGTATGTCTCCTCCTTAATTCCCGCAGAGATTCCCTCCTTTGGTGCGGTTGTAACAACTTTTGTCTGTGAGCTCGATACCGCTTCAAGCTCGATACCGAATCGGAACCTCGGTCTTGATTTCGAGCTAGGTGGTCACTTTCGGGCATCGATGCTCGAGATCTGTATCGACCGATGTTAACTCGTTCGAATCGAGCGCCCAGGCTCGACGCCCCAATCTCGGAATACGCTTGGGGTTTCCATGAAGGCACCCCTCGATTGAAATGCCATCCTCGATCGATCTTCACGACCGAGGATCGGTTTTAACCGTATACAGATAGCCCCCTCGTTTCTCGGAAGGGAGATGACGAGGAACGATGTGATTTCCTTAAGGTTCGATCGAATCGACAATGACATTTCTATCGGCTTTGACTATGACGTGTGTGACAGCTGTCCCATCAATTTTGTTTTATCGAGGTGTTTAATGAGCGTCAGTCGGTGGTCGACCACCGCTAGACGAATCGCCGTGCCTTATAAATGATTTTCGCATACGATGTTTTCTGCTTTTGTGCTTTCTCTTTTCCAAATTCTTTCTGATCAGTTTCTCTTATTTCGTCGTTTTAGTGCCGTTTGTACCAGAGTTTTGGTGTCGCTTGTACCAGAGTTTTGGTGTCGCTTGTACCAGAGTTTTGGTGTCGCTCCCTCTTTCACCTTTCTTTATGATTTTTTCTTCCCGTATTGATGGCGAAAACTTCAAAAATCGTACCTCACAAGGAGAAAGCTTCCTCCCCACGGTTGTGCGACGATAAGGCGCCGACCAAGCCGTCCGTTCCAGATTATATTCCCGGCCCGTGTATTTTAAAGGTTGATTTTAAAGTGGAGAATCCTTCGTCCGTTCCGGGTTGGTGTAAGCACGTATCGATATATATGTGCTCTATAGCGGAGGTTAACCTCGAGGCCGTCAGGAAAGATTGCGGCTGGGGTTCT